TCTCTCTCTCTCTTTTTCTCTCTCTTTTTCTTTGTGCTCGTTATTCGATACGTTTGACGAAGAATAGAAAGTAAGCGCTTGAAATCTATTTTTCCTACGGTTTCACCGACACGAGGGATTATTATTGCAGAAATTGTGACTTCCCTAACGGTGGTCCTCCCGGGTATCAACCAGCTGCCGCAGCTCCTCCACCGTTAAGCACGGAATACGAGCGACCACCTCCCTATTATTATTATCCTGGGCCAGGGTGAGTCGAAGGATAAATTTTAATAATTAAAATATATAGTTGTGGAAAATATGTTTTCTATATATTCTATGTATTTTCAGGGATACAAATTAGGAAACAAGTGCCGTGGCATGCACAAAGGTAGCGCTGAATAGCGTGGCTACCCACAGTCTCACCCGCAGTTACAAAAGGACGCTCAAAAAGAAAGAGAAATCCGGATGTAAACGAGACTATGTTTAATTGTAGCGTTCCTGTTTGAGCGTGCCACGGACCGTGCGAACGGCAAAATCAATTAAAGACCAAGTTTACGATATACAGACTGAGGTAGGCTAAATGGATCCTTCGGCGAGCCGCAAATAATGTGATCAACGTGTACGATTCGTTTCGATTTAGTATTATTTTTAGACATCGTGCGTATCACGAGAGAAATGTTACGTTGTTCATGAATATTGTTTTCTTTTTTTTTTTTTTCCTTTTCTTTTGCGATAGCAATTTACTTGTTCTTTTTTCTTTTTTATAGCGCTTCGACGATTTCTTTCTTTTTCTTTCCTTTTTTTCTTTTTAATCACTGAGACGAACTGTAATAAAACGACGATTCAAATCGTTTGTGTTAATCGCTGGACAATCGATTTTTTAACTTGACTGATATCGTTTTACCACCGCTTTCTTCGACGTTCAATATTTCTTCTTCCATGAAATGCCATCGCGACCAAGGTCTCTTCTACTCTGTCTACTATTTCGACCCGACTTCGAGATTTATACGCGAGAGTTATACTCAAAGTTCGATTCGCTCTTATTCTCGAAGACGCGTCGATTATATTCTACCGATATCGCTCGAGAGGCACTATATAATTCTTTGCAAGGAAATTTTTCTGTGAAACCCTTAGAATTTCCCCTCTGGAATTTAGTTCCTAATGAAAAAAAAAAAAAAAAGAAAAAAAAGAAATATACGCGTAGTAATTGAAATAAATCATCATCATCATCATTATCATCATGCGTTAATCAGTATTAACGAAAGTTCGTTGTCGCGCCTCCCTTGTTCTCACCACCCACACTGGCGTACGCTTTCTCTTTCACCCTAACGCAAAGATCCTGTCTTTGTTGAGAATTTAAAACGAACGTGTATATAACATTCAACCGCTTGTGTCTTATGAATTTTCATCGTATATTTTACGTGCTAACTGCCTACCAAGAAACAACAACAAAAGTACACGGAACGACTATGATGACACGTGGCTTTTAGCCAACACGCGTTTAAAAGGGAACACGTGCGATCGATTATTAAATACGAACAATTGCGTTTCTACAAAGAATTCTACAAAGATATCACGATTTGCTCGATATTTGTTAATTTTCACATTCGATCGTTCACGATAATCACACGATCAACACAGAATTCTTCGGTGTGTGCGTGTAACCAAGAAATTCGTTCATGAAATTTTGCTCACTTCGAACGACACTGCCATCATTTTTCACGAGACGAGTCGCGTCGTCGACAGCAACAACGACAACAAAAGCAACGTAAAACTGGATCTGGATCTTTTGGAGCAACGTCGATCGCACAGTTTCCAATATTATATACGGAAATATTCGTAAAAATCGTTGGCGCGAGCGTGATCGACCAACGATTTTTCACAAATCTCCAACACTTAACAACGCCATATTTAAATGCCAAACGACAATTCTTTAACCGTGGACCGTGGAGTTGGAAGGTGCTTGAATCCAATTCCACGATCTATCCTCTCTCTTTTCTCGATCTTGCTAGGGGATCGTTTTCCTAAGGTATAAAGGGGGAATCTTGAAACTAACTTCCGTCTCGCTCACGTGTAATGGAGCCACCGATTTTTCCCGATTAGACCGAAGTTAGTTTCGTCGCAAGATCGTCTCTGTTAAAAATACTCTATGTACATGGTTCTTTAAGACATTTTTTTTTTCTTCTTCTTCTTGTTCTTGTTCTTCTTCTTCTTCTTCTTCTTACTATTAACTTTACCGTGTAATTTACCGAATTTAAGCTCCTTAGACGGGATATTTACACGTCGCATAGAAAATTTGTCGTACGTTTATCCACGCGTCTACGCGACGGGTGAATATCTTGACGCAACAGATGCAACATCCGTACAGTACTTCGATGCTAAGGATGAATCTTTTTCGAGCGTCGTGGAGGTGCCACTTCCTGTTCTTTTTCTTTTTCTTTTTCTTTTTTTTTTTTTTTTTAACGTTAAGCTCGTTCTTTGTAAGTTAGAGGCTGCTTAGGGGATGGTGGAACCACCCGCCCAAATGAAAGTCTTTTGAGAGAGCATTGTAGCATTGTTTAGATGAATAATTAAGACATTCATTGCAGTCGAAAGTGATCACGTGTATCGTCTAGCTAATAATAAGTAAGATAACGTAACATCTAGTTTTTAAAATCGAAAAATTTCACAAATTGTACAAGCTCAATATTAACTAATGACGACTGCAACGGATCGAACGAAAGTTAAGCGTTTCCCCAGTTTTTGAATTTAGAAATACTTTTAGGAATTGAAAATATCGATCGGTACGAGTCCCTCGTGGGGATTAGCGATTCGATTGAAATATGAATCACGGGCTTGTGCCAATCGGTGCGCGAGTCTCTCGTTCGTGGATCGAAGTACGACCATGTTTCTAATGTTTCTTGATCAGATTTTAGATTTCTGAATGAATTATTGTACCGCAATGATAGCACGTCGGGATGTTGCATTATCCGTAGACAACCTGTTTCACATAGTCGTTGTCATTGCGAACAGCGAGTTTTTAACGTTAATGTTGTAACGGTAGATTACCGCCGCCCATGCAACGATCTTTGATCGATCGTTGGCAGATTGCCAAAAGAGAAAAAAAAAAAAAAAAAAAGAAAAAAAAGAAGGGGGGAAAAAAAGCGAAAAAAAGAAAATGCAAAAAAAAGAAGGGAGAGAATAAATTTGCTCGTACATTGCTCGTACGTAAGGCGTGAGAAAGCGGGAGCACAAAAATCATTAGAATCTTTTTAAAACGACGACGATAGGAAAGGAGAGTAGAGTAAGTGTGAGGATCGCGTGAAAGGAGAAAATATCTTTGAATGATTGTTTAATGAGAATTGAGAGAAAGAGATACGAGAGAAGGAAAGTCGAGAGCGAGGAGAACACGAGAAATTTCCGCTCTATCATTACCGTATTTACATACACATTTAGAATAGTGGAAAAGTAAGCTACGTTTTTAGCGTAATATCGACGGAAACACAGATATCATCGTTGTTGTATGTATGTATGGGAAATCGAGGAACCGCGATGTCCTTTTTTTCTTCTTCTTTTTCTTTCCTTTCCTTTCTCTTTTCTTTTCTTCTTCTTTCTTTTTTCCCCTCAAGAATGTTAAAGAAACGTGTAATAATCGATTACTGTATGGACTCGCGAGACTATTTTATCCGATGGACTATATTATCCGTGTCATAAAAAAAAAAAAAAAAAAAAGAAAGGAAAAAAAGTCCATTGAAACGAACCAGAGAACGAGTGCCGTGTAGAAATTCGCGCGAATCGCACGAACGATGGAAAAAAAAAAAAAAAAAGAAATTTACAATTGTCGTGTGCCGTTGAAAGGCACCGCGGAAACCATTTTTCTGGTGCTATTTTTATATATATGGAAAACGTAGCCACGATTTGATATCGGGCACTCCTTCTCTCTCTCTACATTTTTGAAATGCGTCGAATAATAATAAAGCGTAGGACACGAGAATTTTCAAACTGTTGCAAGAAAGAAACACTCTTTTTACTGCCTTCTAGATGAAACCGTGGAAAATAAGTTGAGGTACTCTGACTTCTCGAAGTTGGTCCGTCGCCCTTTCCAGTAATCCAAGTTTTCAACAAAAATTGAAATTTAACGATATCTTAACGATATGTAATAATTTTTATTTATTGCAAATAGATATTCAATAATAAAAAATCGTTTTTCACGTTAAATATTTTTGATACGAGGAGAAAAATAGGAATCGAGGAAATGTTCAATATATTGCTATTAGTTCTTTAATTAATTATCTTAACGAGATAGACACAGAAAGATATTATTTTTACGCGAAAACATTGATTACTGGTTACTAAAGGGCAAAGGCGGCTATTAAATGAGTTTTAAACGATTTATTGTATTATTACGAATAATTATATACATATAATTTAATAGGGTATCGTTAAAGAGTTTCCTTGCATTTTCTTCGTCTGCTCAATATTTTTGGAATGCCCTCAATGTTCGTGGTTGGGTGTTCTTCCTTGTTTCTTTTGCTGAACTTCAGCAGCCATTCCATTCGGAATTGTTTTGTGGAAAATCACGAGGAGACGTGGAACAAGTTTTTCGATTCCTCGTGACTTTCCAAAAATGCATTTCGTTTCGAAGAATGTCGAATTTTTTTTTTTTTTTTGATCGGAGTTGTGCAAGTATGCGAATGCGGTGTACGCCATCGAATATGGTGTTTTTACGATTCACCGATTGTGTTTGTTAAAATTAATTATTATTATTATTATTATTGCTATTACAATGATTATTATTATGATTATTATTATTATTATTATTATTATTATTATTATTATTATTATATTATAAAATGAGTGTATCACAGTTTAAATATATCTATTTTATATTAAATCATTAACGCCATGAGTTAATTCTTTACACAGATCTTTTAGATTTTAGATAATAAAATAGTTATATTGTTAATTCATATACATAATAATAACGCGTCTTGCATAATACATAAATCTATTAATATAAAACTATATGTAAGATAAAGTTGCGTTTCAGGTTTAAACTCATCATTCATCTTCCTGTCCATTCGATTCCTGTTATATCAACAATTAATTCTGTTATCTTTACCCCATTTGCGCATCACTCGAATGATCTGCTCCACTTGTGAATTCGAAGTGTTCTTCAAAAGTTGTATAATTTCAGGTAATAGTTCTCTAAAAAAATACGTCGCAAAGAATTGATTGCATTAATGGATAAATAAAAGGATACACACTTTGATTGCCTTTCAGCCACGATGTATTGAAACACGCCGCAACAAGCGCCACGTTTCCCTTCCCAATTTTCAGGACTTGGATCCATTCGTTCTAACACGTCGAATGCTTTCGCTGCGTACCAAAATTCACCGACTTTGTAACAATCGTTGGCTATCAATTGGAGCAGATTAAACGATTCCGTCGTTGTGTCCATTTTTAGGTATAAATCCCAGGCCAATTGGGATTTCTTGTTCATTATAACTGAATTAGAATTAAAAAAAATATATATATATAGTAAAAATAATGAGTAAAAATAATTAAAAATTATATATAAAATATGTTATTACAACAATGTGCCAGAAGACTAATGTAAATATAATCATTTTTATATTTTTCGTTTCGTATATTTAAGAACGCCTCTTCCGCTTCTTTGAAGTAGCCTGCTGCAGTTTGTGCTTGCGCATAATTGAAGTTGAAATTATCTTCATTGGAGAAATAAGTCTTTATTGAATTTAAGTACACGAGAACTTCTTCGAATTGACGGTACAGGAAGAAGCAAGATGCCATGCATTGTCTACCAGGTATGGTATCGCATTCAGATGCGGAGGAGCCCACTAATTGAAAATACTGTTGCGCCGTCTTTATGTTATCGCGCTGAAAATAATTCATCGATCGATTTAAATTTATTTAGTTTTAGGAATATTTTATCTCCGTACGAACTTACAGAATTCGTCTCTTGCCCCATCACTGCATTAACTATTCCTTTTAAAATATACTCCTGTGGCACAGCTGGTTCAAGATCTTTAATTAATTCGAATGCTTCTCGCACGTCGTCTTGTTTTAAATAATAAATTACTAAATTCAGTCTGGCTTCTGGTATAACATCCACCAAATTGGGCAAAATTTGCAATGCACCTTCTCCACCTTTGAAAACCTAAGAAAAAGAAGTAAATTGGTTTAAGATTGGATTGGTTGAAGATTGCGCATGTTATAGAAAAAAAAATTCGTGTTATACGTACAACCGCGTTGTGACGTATAAGATCGTGACTAAAGCTGAAAGAGTTGGACATCTTTTCTATCAATTGTTTCATCTCACTTTGTGCAGCGTTACCATTGTATAAACGGAAGTGATTGCACGCTTTTAAATTTATAGCTATTGCACTGTCGGGATATTTTTGCAAGTAAACTTGGAGGACTTCTTGAGCTACGTCATAATAATCTAATTTGTAATAACACAAAGCAACGTATACGTTTAGCGCAAAATAATCTCTGTAAAAAAAAAGAGGAAACGTGAATATGATTTGAATAGAAAAAATAAATTTGAATAAAAATTTTTCGAAAATAAGTTTTTTCGAATAACGGAAATCGAATGGGAAAAAGGAAGGAGAAGGAAGCGGGTACCTGGAATTTCTTAATTCTTTGATCAAACAAACGTCTGAATTTTTATCACTTTGATTTTCATCATTGCTGCTCGTATCATCGCTATCAAAATCCCTAAAGAACAGCTTGATTTCAAATATCGAAATTCTAATTCATTTATCAAACAGAATAAAAAAAAAAAAAAACAGGTAGATTACAACCTGTTCTCTAACAAAATCTTTTTGTAAACGTCGATAGCCTCTTGATAATGTGCTCTGAGATAATGAATCGATGCCAAGCTAAGTTGATCCTCTATTACATCCTCCAACATGTGATGATATTCCATTAATTTCGCCTCGTTGCCCATTTTATGCGCCAAATGAAACAAAAGTCTGTTCTTCAATTTACTGTGCGGTGCATCTTCCAGAAGTTTTTGTGATTCAGGGTACATTCCAAGAAAGAAATAACAGCATGCCAAATTTGTCGAGGTATCCGCCGGTGTTTCGTCTCGTTTTTGTAAATTTTCGTAAATCGTAGCTGCACGTTTGTAATCCCCCAAATGAAACGCGCAATAACCCATCCATAGCTCGGAGTTTAAAGTATTTTCTGAGGCGTTGTTGAATTCCAAAAGTGTCAAAGCACCTGTGTAATCGCGTTTCTCTAAAAATTCCTCTAATTTGGGTATTTTTTTGTCCGATGTAGATCTTTTCACTCCTTCGGAAGACGCTGGTTTAGCTCTTGATAATATCTATCACAAGTTTTTATTGTAGATATTAAAACAAATTCATTTCGAAAAAATCAATTATATATTACTGAATCAATTGGAAATAATGCAAATGATTGAACGTAAAAGAATGTGATTTTTAGAACATCGATAAATAATATATATTAAAGAAAAAAGAAAATGCGATGCACAATGCAATGTTTACCATTTTTAGTCACCGTTGCTAATAGATACATAAATATATTGATTACCATAAGATTGCAAAAACGAATAGACATTATCACTATATTCGTTTAATTTAGATATTATTTATTCGGGAAAAATTATTTAATAAAATGATAAATTGTTAAGATTAAACAATTTTTATTGTATATTTAAAAATTTCAAATTAAATTTTTTAGTTTCTCCCTACAGATGTCAGTTCAATGGTGATAAAATTTAAGTAACTTTTGCTTAAGAATTTATATATATATATTTTTTTATTTTTAAGAAAATAAAATTGTACACAATGTTACACTTTATATCATAATACATTTGTAATAATTATTATTTCTAAATATAAAATTATTGAAATAAATTATATCGCAAAAAAAATTTTTTATTCAACAAGTTAAAATATATTCCGTTTTTTAATTTGTGTAAATTTGAATAGATTATAATTAAAATTTTTTCTACTTGACGAAATTTACATTGGTTTCGATATATATAGAACTGATAGAAAACAAAAATTGTCAGAACGCGACCGACTGTCGTGGAGGTTACATCGCCGGTGGTGTTTGCGCATTTCTTTTCGTAATGTTGGAAGGTGTCAAACATGTTTTGTTAGTGCTTTCTGGTAAAGGTGGTGTTGGAAAATCAACAATCAGCACACAATTGGCACTTGCACTTAAGGAATCAGGTTTTCGAGTAAGTTTCAAATTTCTTGATAGTTGTAGGTTATACTACTTATATATTAAAAATATTGTAGGTTGGTTTGTTAGACATCGATCTTTGTGGACCTAGTGTGCCTTATTTGTTAAATTTAGAAGGCAAAGATGTTCATCAATCTTCTGACGGGTATTAAAAATAATTACTATCCATTCTTATAAAAATTATTTTTATAAATATTTATAAAAAATTATTATATATTTTTTTTCATATATATATATATATATATTATTTATAAAATATAATTATTTAATTATATTATTGATATTTTATTGTATGTAGATGGGTGCCAGTGTTTGCAGATAAGGAACAAAAATTGGCTGTCATGTCTATAGGATTTTTATTAAAAAGTCAAAATGATAGTATTGTTTGGAGAGGTCCAAAAAAAACTGGAATGGTTAAACAATTTTTAACAGATGTTATTTGGCAAGATATTGATTATTTAATCATTGATACACCACCAGGAACCTCAGATGAACACATCACAGTAATGGAAAACTTAAAGTACGGTTAAAATTTATTTTGTTCTTATTTATTTTTATCGCATTAATTATAAAAGAAAAGTATATAAAACATTTTATGGATTTGTACTATTTATAATGTCATGTGCTTTTAGTCTCTACACATGACTATGATTAATAATCATGTGACATTCAAATGAGGTACATTTCTTGTTAGATAAGGATTAGTCATGAGATTGATAAGCTTACACAGTATATTTGAATGTGTATTAACAGAGAATATTTCAACATATAATGATAGATCAAAGTAAAATGATTAAATATTTTTTCAGAAATGTTAAATGTGATGGTGCACTTATAGTAACTACTCCACAAGCAGTTGCAGTGGATGATGTTTTACGAGAAATAACATTTTGTAGGAAAACTGGGATTCATATATTTGGTATTATTGAAAATATGAGTGGTTTTGTCTGTCCATCATGTTCAGTTAGTATAAACTATTTGTTTAAATTATAAAAACAAATTTTTTATTTACATAAAATTATTTATAGGAATGTACAAATATATTTTCCGCGGGTGGAGGAATAGCTCTTTCTAAAATGGTAAATGTTCCATTCTTAGCAAAAGTGCCTATAGATCCACAAGTGGGAAAACTAGCACATACTGGTCAAAGCATTCTAGTAACATTACCTGATAGTCAGGTAGCACAAGTGTTTCGAAAGCTAGTCGAGGAACTTACCCAGAGCAAGGAAGCATGAAAAATTTGATCTCATGTACACGGTGTTCTCAATGAAATACTGTACTTGTTCGTGATGATAATATTAGCCCTCTGCGAACTTTCGCATTTTTTAAATATTTTTTAGTAAGACTAAAAATAAGATAAATTAATTTGAAAAGAAAAACATTCAGGTTTTAGTGGAAAATATATTATCATGACATAATAATAAACATATGAGACATATGTAAAATATTTGTATACAAATAATATATAGGATCATAAGGGGATCGTTTAATTGCATTTTACATAAAAGAGGTAGAATATATGTGTACAAATACAACGATTTTTATATAATAGCATTTATGAGAAATATATAAAAGATTTTGCACATTGTAACAAATTAGTACATGTGTGTATATATAATTCTGTGTCAGTGTTAATAAAACATTTACATTTTACATTTTAAAGTTTTTGTACAAAAATGTGAATAGATTATTATAATATCATTGTATAATGTATATACATTAAAATCTATAAATCTATGCATTATTCTACTTACAAGTTTTTTTTAAAACTCAATGTCAATGTTCATTTATTTACGATTTTTAATTATTGTACACATGTTCAAAAATAAAAAGATATATATTTCCCCTATTCTGGTTTTTATCTATTTATAAAATAATGAAAAATTTACTAATTCGATATTCGTTTCAGGTAAGCTGTCCAAAGTTCTTTTTTGTATTGTAAAGTAGCAGCCAATTTATCTTGAGCTTCAGTAATACCTCTACCAACTACAGCTAAATCAGCTCCAGAATTTACAACAGATTCTGGTATATTGTACTGCTGCCCTAAATTATCAGAAGTTTTCGACAGTTTCACACCTGGTGTCAATTGAATAAGTCCCAAATTTGAGAAAATATTTGATTGACAAACAATTCCAGTCACCATATCCGAACTTTGTGCGATAGATACAGCGCTCTGCGCATATTCATTAACCGTCAAAGCTCCTTTGGAAGACATTTCCGCTAATATAAACAAACCACGAGGTTCATTTATATTTTTTAAACTATTTTTCAAGCCATCTATAATATTTGGACCTGCAACTGCGTGCACTGTAACAATATCTGCCCATTCAGATATTTTATAAATGCCTTTCTCATATTGTAAGGATACCGTATTTCCGATATCGGCAAATTTTCTATCTTCCATCAATAAAAACTCATGTTTTTTAGCTAAATCTTTCAAACGTTTGATAAAATCATAGCTAAAATCTTCTAATATATCTACATGTGTTTTAAATAACACAATATGTGGTCCTATTAAATCAGCTATTTCTATAATATCATTTGCTTTAGTCAAATCTGCTGCTAGACATATAGTGGATTGCTTTGTTTCCATCAAATTAAACAACTTGGAAGCAATTGCATTTTTGGTCTTTGTGCTACGAATATGAAATGGAGTTTTTAACCGTTTATCTGAAATTTTTTAAGATAAACAATTCAATTTATATAGTAAACAATCAATTTACTATTAAACATTTTCTTACCTTGAACAGAAATGATTGGTACTTGAAATTTTAATAAATAATCAGTTACATTTTTAACTATTTTTGGAGTAATCTTGTTAGCTTCTAACAAATATGCCATAAGTCTAGTAGTTGTATATAAACTCCTCATTCTAATTCCATGATGCTCTATATTTTTCTTACCATTTTGTTCTCTATCAATTACAACAAATGTGTCTGTTACTTTTAAACCTTCTTTTCTTAGAATAAATGCTGTTTCTAAAATACTGCTACCACTTGTGACTACATCTTCAATAATCACACAATGATCTCCTTGCTTAAAATTGCCTTCTATGATCTTTTTTGTACCATATGTTTTTGCTTCTTTTCGTTTTATTAACATAGGCACATTAGAGTCTGCAGAAATTAATGTTGCTAATGGTAAAGCTGTATAAGGAACACCACAAATTTGTGTTATATCTGGACATTCTTCTGCAAATGTCCATAATATTTTTGCCAAGCGAACCTATACATAATAATAATAAAATAAATGTAAATATTATAAATATATTACTTTATATTATTTTGAAATATATATATAAATGTCTGAAAATAATTGTAATCACTATAATAACATTTACCATTATTTTTGGATATGATATTAATACTCTTAGATCAAAATATATTGGAGTTTTAAGACCAACTTTAGTTACAAAATCACCAAATTTAAATGCATCTATTTCATAAAGTGCTATAGCTAGCTCTTTTAATTCAGCATCCATTGCATCTAAATTTTTCAACATGGTTTTAATTTTTAATACAAACACAAAATCTAGAAAAAAAAGATGAAATCGCTTATTTAAAAATTAAGGTTAGTTATTTTTTATCATTTAATTTTACAGAACTTTTATTATACTTTTTACTGTACTTTCTAGAAGATTTTTAATTTCATATAAAAATATAAATTCAAATAACAGACAAAATAATTATATTTAAAATAATTAACTGATATCAATCTTGTGATTATCAGATATTCATCTTACTTTATACTTACATGATACATACTGAAAGCAGAGAGCATGTAACAGCATAATAACACATAATATAGTATATAAATCAACAGGTATAGTATTGTATCAATTTTTTCAAGATTTAAATTAAATCCGCAAACTTAAGCGTTAATTTTTTTTTTTTTTTTTTTATAACAATGACAAATTCTATAAAAATTCCATTCAATTTAATACTATTCTAAGAATAATAATAGTATATAATAATTAAATAATAAAAATATTTTCTTATAAAAATATTGGGTTAAATGTTAATAAAAAGTCGAACATATATTAATAATATTCTTTTTATTTCTCGTTATTCAATATTGCTATTATAAGTGAAAACTTGATTCTCATCATGGCAAATGAATATCGTAAAAATACATTATCGTATTATGTTTGATAATATTTAAAATCGAATGTTTTTCGAATGTTTTCCTTGTTTTATTTATTTCCCCAACCCCAAAGGCCTTTAACAAATCCTGTAAGACCAGCTTGGCCACCTTTTTTAGCTTGATCGCCAAGTTTTTCGCTTAAATCAGGAAATTCAACCATATTGAAAGCTAAATCGAAAAAGAGTGGTTTGCAAGGAATAGGTTGCATAGATGGTGGCAATTTATAAACGTTAGGTTGTTTCGTAAGAAGCGCATTATCTTCTCTATATTCATATAAACGTTCAAATAGAGGTTTTTTCGTTTTTGTGTATTTATTAATACCAGATTCTTCTTCTTGTCCATCTTCTAAAACACTGTGCGCATGTGCTGCGTACTTGGCACCTTCTATAGAAATTTCTAATTTTTGGAGAGCTTCTTTTAATGATTCTGGAAGCACTTTATCATAATTTTCAAGCGCATCTTTTGCATGTTGTGCAGATCTTTGATATAAAGCCATGGCTTCTCGCCATCGATGAAGATTCGCTAACGATTGCGCCATGTAATAACATCTAAAAGCTCTGTAACCCTTTGTTTTAGCTTCTTGCTCGCGTATAAATTCTTCATCATCTTGCAGCTGTGAGATTTCAACAAGATTATGAAGTGCTGCTTCATATAATCGTACAATATCTTGTGGTTTCGTTTTTGCAGATTCTTCTGCTGCTTTGATCAATGCTAAATTTCTTTCCAATGTACGAGACAATCTGATATACTGCAAATACGTAATTAAATGTTGTGGAGAAGATAGTTTATCGTTATCTTTGTTCTTTAATTCATTCTTAAATAAATCTCGTACAATTGAGATTGCATCTTTACAATCTATTAAGTGTGCTTCCAGCAAATCAATTTTAGCTTGATTTGTTGCCGCTTTTTCTAACGTTTGATTTAATCTAGAATCAGCAATTAAAAGACCAGCTGCTCTTGGTGGTACTATACCACATGATTGACCACGCCAAGTCACTTCTTCAGCATTTGCTTGTTTTTCTCGAGTTTGAGCTATCAATGAATCTAAATTGGCTAATAATTCGCCACTTAGTTGACCTCTCATTTGCATTAAGTCATCTATGGCAGTGGTATCTCCTATATTATAGGCACAATATCTAAGGCTTGGAGCAAGCTCCTCAACACGAGCATTATACATTATTTGCTCAGATTCTGATAATGCAGAAGCTAGTTTTCCATATACTACCTGAGCCTTTTTCAAATTTTCCATTGCTTTTTTCCAAAGTTGTAGTTCAAAATGTAAAGATCCATGTATCCATGCAACATATGCTTGAGCTTCTAATTTTGTTCTTGCATCACAATTAACATTCTAAAATACATATTTGTATTAAAAAATTAATATTTGGCATCATGAAAGAATATAGCTTACCTCTATCAATTCTTGTAGTTGTAAAGAATATGTAGCAGCTTTTCTTAGTCTAGATATCAAATGAAACTTTTTCCTTGGTTCTGTGTTAGATTCTTGTCGTAATTGCATAGCATAACTCCAAGCACGTTCTGCCATTATTAAGGGAACTTGTAAAAATTTATCATCAGTAACCATTGCAGGTAATACATCTCTTCTTTTAAAATGACGTTTGTCTCCTTGTGGAACTTTTAAAACTTTTCTAAGACGTCTAAGTCTTCTTGAACAATAACCACGATATCGTTGATAATCACCATGTCTTAACCCATGTTGTTGTTGTGCTTCTTTTATAATTTTTAGAACTATTTAATTGTCAAGGATATTATTATTTTAGAAATATATTAGAAATATTACAATATAATTTACAAACATAGAAGAAAAATGAAGATTATTAATTAAATGAATTGAATCATGTTTCAAAATAAAAATATAAAATATGAAAAATAATTTTTATAATATTTTTTATATTTGTACATTTATTTAAATTATTTTTTTTTTATTGTGATCGTTAGAAAAAAATTTATATAATTATGAAAGAAAAAATATAGGTTAGAAAATAACATATGGCGTTGACAATTTTCATATGCTAAAATCTTTTTAAAAAGGATACTTTCCAACGAGTACGTCTTCTGTTCCGTCGACGTCGTATCATCGTTTATTTGATTTTCTCTCAATGATTCACTACTTTTTTCTTCCACAACCATCGTACTATAACCACGTATCCGATTTTCACTACGTTTTTTAACCACAAATTCAACTACAATCACAAAATATTTGTAGTTAGATGTACATTCACATCTCTTCAAATGAAGACGCGGTAATTTTAAATGCAAGTCAATAGCTATAAATAGTGAAAATAAATTGATAAAATTTTAAATTGTACTTATTTGGAACTATTAATATTGCTATTTTTCGTAATAAAAATTGGGTTCTGTTTTAAAAGAATTTTTAATTATTCGTTTTTTATTTTCGAAAATATTCGAAAATTTCGAAGTTTTTATTTTCAAGTTTGCATCTTGAAATTAGAAGTTCAGGTAAATTCCTCATATGAATTTTATAAAATTTTTCTCAATTAATTATTTAATTATCAAGAATTAATCAACTATTAGATTATTCATTTATATAATAATAAAATTATAAATAAAATTTAGTGAAAATAATAAAGAAAGCAATATTTCGAATCATATTTAGAATAAATATTTAGAAATAAATTCCATTTTAATCAAAAATTAGTGAAAAACATATTATCAATAACATCAATTAAATATTACATATTAATTGTTAATAAATAATTAATTGAAAAAAAATTCATTAAAATTGATATAGAAAATTTGTTTGAAACTATAATTTTAAAATGTGAATTTAATATTATTTTTAGTAAAAAAGAAGTAATTGCTACAAAATGAAAGTTCCTGATAAAATAGGTATGTATACTTTAAATTCTATAATTAAAATTAAGTAAAATGATGAAAAAATGTTTTTTCTGGAAACATGGAGATTAAAAAGGTAAGTATAAAGGTAAGTATTTTCATTAAAAATTTGCAATTTCTGGAAATATGGAGGTTAAAAAGGTAAGTATAAAGGTAAGTATTTTCATTAAAATTTGCATGTAATCAAAATATAATGCAACCAAGAAGTTTGAATTTAATTGTTGGAAATGACGTCAATTCTTAGAATTTTCGAAAATTTTTATATTTTCAGAGTTTCGAATTCAAAATTTTCGTATGTTTACTAACAAAGGTTTGTTTATTTACATTTTCAATGTTTATTTACATTTTTCGTTTGTTTATTTACATTTTCAATGTTTATTTACAAAAATTTTCAAAAATTTGTAGAAATTTCATATCGAAGTCTTGAAATTTTCGTTTGTTTGCAAACAATGGTCTGTTTATTTTGATTTTCAATGTTTATTTACATTTTTTTTGTTTATTTTGAGAAAATTCCTAGAAATGACGTCAAATTCCTGGAATTTCCGAACTTCTTGGAAATGACGTCAAATTCCTAGAATTTTCGAAAATTTTTATACTTTCAGAGTTTCGAATTCAAAATTTGCGTATGTTTACTAACAAAGGTTTGTTTATTTACATTTTCAATGTTTATTTACATTTTTCGTTTGTTTATTTACATTTTCAATGTTTATTTACAAAAATTTTCGAAAATTTGTAGAAATTTCATATCGAAGTCTTGAAATTTTCGTATGTTTACTAACAAAGGTTTGTTTATTTACATTTTCAATGTTTATTTACATTTTTTTTGTTTATTTTGAGAAAATTCCTAGAAATGACGTCAAATTCTTGGAATTTCCGAAATATAAGTTTTTGATCAAATTTTATATACTTACCTGTTCGATACTTACCTTTACTTACCTTTTGCTATTGTATTGCTATTTTATACGACATTAAATGTTTTTTCAACAGTTTTCTTAATTCTACAAATACTTACCGTTTAAATACTTACCATTTATAGCTTATCATATGTTTTTTAATACAGTACTGGATGTAAATCGGCATTCTCTGTAAAGAAATTAAACTATATAATTTAAAAAATTCGAAGATAATCGAAGATAATTAAATAATCTCTGTATTATAAAAAGTATATAAAAGATATATGTATGATATATACAAATTATAAGAACTTATATAAAAAATATAATCATATATAGTAATACAAAAATAACATACATCATATTAATTAGAAACAACCAAAAATGATTATTAATATATTTTATATACAATATACAATATACATTACCAAAAATCAAAAGCTTTTTATAGTTACCTCGCTTTATCTCGAGATAGAACCATCTCATCCGCAAGACCATTTTATCCAGAATTATCCTATACAAATAAAATCTTATGCATATATATATGTACAAAATATATATAACGTAATAATTATAACATAAAAAAGTTAAATGATTTAAATCTTGCAAAAATTTTTAATTAATAAATTGGAAGGCGGACGAATAAAGTTATTCGAATAAAGAAATCATCACCATCTTTGACAAACATATGAAGTTGTAAAGTAAATATAGACAAGGAAAATAAATAAAGTAAGAAAAGGATAGAGATAGGGTAAAAATTGTGGAATCAGCGCCATCTCCAGAGTGCCGCAAACGAAACTCGCGTAAAAAAGGAAAGAAAATAATGGAAGAAGGATAGAGATAAATTAAGAATTATATTTGTGCGCCATCTCTTGAATATTTCTGAAAAGATGTATTTTCTTTAATATTTAAGAGATGGCGCTAATTGTTAATTCTTGCTCTATCTTATCCTACTTTTGAAGAAGTATCTTTAAAACCTGAAAGATGGCGTTAATGGTTAATTCCTTTGTTATCTCTATCCTTCTCTTTCTATTTTCTATCCTTTTTATATGAGTTTCATTTGCGGCACTCTAGAGATGGCGCTGATTCCACAATTTTTATCCTATCTCTGTCCTTTTCTCACTATTTACCTTCTTTGTCTACATTTATTCCCTACACATTCCTATATATTTATACTCAAAAGAGATAGTTATAATAGTTGATTAATTTTTTTATCTTTGTTGTCCAATTTATTGATTAAAAATCTTAATAGAATCCATTCCAACCAATTTTTAGATACGATATATTATAGAATTAGAATAAATGAATGAAAATTAACGAATTATTTATTTTACACATTTTAAAGAAAGAAAAATAAATTTTTATTTTAAGTATCTATTATATAAAAAATTTTTGCTCATATTGATCTACGAAATTTAAGAAATATAAGAGACATTTTCCATTTATCATCTTTGATATCGAGAATTTTTAGCGCGTTACATAATTTTATCGCTGTAATCTCATTAAAAATAGAAAAGAATAGTGTGCATAGGCATTCTGTTCGCTATGACTTAACATGAGAATACGTCCATTTGAACGACAAAGCTGCTCGACGAGCGAAAAGAAACATCCTCTAGCTTCTGTGAATCCTTTCTGATTATGCAAACGACGCATTAGAATGCATTCCATCGGAATGTTCGACATTCCTGTGGAAACTACGCTCTTCAAACCTTGCGTTACATTGCATGCGACCGCTTATAATCTTCTAATATGAAAGAATCTTTCAAATATATAGTTTTCTAAAATGGTTATCGTTGCTCGAGTCGCGTGATCGTTCCTTTTCAAAAGAAAAAAAAAAAAAAAAAAACTGCTATGAGCTTCGAATCATATCACGGATCGAACGAAATGGTATTTAATATACAAAGATTTAAAGTCGTAAAAATTGATCGTAATATTGGATATTCGTTAAAAACTCGAAACATTTTTATAAATTAAATTCTCAAAAAGGAGACGTTGCAGTCGAAGAAAAAGAAGAAGAAGAAGAAGAAGAAGAATCGAAGAGAAACGTGGATAATGTTTATCAGAGCGCATTGGACCGTGAGTTTTTCGCCTCTCCCCATAAATCAACCCTTAATGTTCGTCCCTTTGTGATCTTCGACGACATTCTCAACTTTCTTCCTCCGGTGGAAGAAATGTTAGTCGAGCAACTTTCTGCTTTCTTCCTTTGTGAAATCACCCTATCCCTCTCCCTGCTACTTTGATATAGATTTTTATTTGACCAAAAAAGAAGAAAACTCACTCTTGAAGAAAACTAACAACCATTTCATTTTATATCCCGAACTGTCTTGCCTATATATGTAGATATAACCACTTTCAATGGTAATTTTCAACTTTTCAACTTCTTCTTTCGAAGGATGATTATCATTATTGATACGATCGAAATAATAATAAAATGTTTCGTTCAACTCTTTACTTTATATTTATTCGACGTTACTCGTATTATTCATTTCCTGGTTCTAAATCAATCCCACGAGAGTAAGAAAAGAAAATGTTCCTCTTCGTAAACATTCCATTCTTTGGAAATTTTTCCACTCGACACAGCTCTCCATCCGATTTGATCGATTGATCTGCCAACTCTCCACCTTTCCCGTATCCACGGGACCCATTAAATTATTCGCCATTTTTCGATAAACTATTCCACAAAGTTTAACCCAATATTCGAAGTTCCGGTCGGTAAATAAGTCCTGTTGACTCTCTCCCTCTCTTTCTCTCTCTCTCTCTCTCTTTGCGGGAAAGTTGAGCGGTAAAGTAAGTGAAAGTTTTAAGTGGATAAAGTCGGCCGATGATCAGGCGTCGAGCTCGACTCGACTTCTCGAGAAATTCGCATCAGATTTCGAAGAACACACGCTCTCGTGTCACAAGTGCAACGATCGCCGCTTCCTCTCGTTCGAATGTATAACGATCTCGATCCCCCTACGATTAAACGAAAACCCGTTTTCAGTTTATACCCCGGAGAATCGGGCCGCGCGAATTTCCACGCGATGTCGTCGAGTTGAAAACTTTTCGAGAGAATCGAGGAAATCCGAAGGATCACATCTATCTGTCTCTATCTCTCCCGTTAATCTTTCCGAAAATCTTCCGGGAAACGTTTCATTTCCAGCGAGGATAGATAATCTTGGAAATATCTCGAATGACGGACAAAAAAAGGTTTGCCCTTGGATTTCGATTATTTGCGATCGACTCGAGACGAGGTTTCGTGATAATTTCTCGACTGTCTCGAGCTGTACTGCAAACTGGATAAGCAACAAGCATCGCGGAATCGTGGAAATTCCTGCTCGGTCTCGAAATTCGTCTAGATGGGAAATTGCGAGCTGTCAGGAAACAGACTGGTGGTTCTGGCCAGGACGTTTAACGTCATAGGCAAAGCCGAGATTGCGTAATTAACAGGATATATCCTTGCCAATCCACCCCCTCTACCTAGATCGGTGGCAAGGGGTTCCGCGTCTTGCAAAGGGGGATTGAGATCGTGTTACGCCCCTGTCGGTTACAGGATGCCGGTTGCCAAAGCTGCTTAAGACGACTACCAAGATTGATTGGAATCCAGGCTTGCACGCGAACCACTCTCCTTTGCCCGCTTAGTCGATTGTTTTTCAATTGTAATCCCTTTGATGCCTAACACAGCCGATGCAGTTTCCTCCGAAATCTAAGATTTCGAAACGGTCCAATTAATTATTTACGGGCCGATCTCGAAAAGATTGGAAATGTACCATTTCTTTTCGCAGTTCAAATTCTTCGAATTTTCACACAGGAGAGAGAGAGAGAGAGAGAGAGAGAGAGAGAGAGAGAGANGAGAGAGAGAGAGAGAGAGAACGAAACTATTTGCACGCGTTAAATCCCTCCCTCCTTAATTTAATCCTTCCTCGAATTTTCGCACACAACTTTCCTCCCTTCGACCAACAATTTCAAACGACTTCGTTTGCACATCCCTGAGATTCTCAATGGGGGAGAGTTTTAAAGTTTTCGACACGATTATCTAATAATTCTTCGGCGTAAATGGCGGGTTGATTAAGCGCGGGGATACCCGCGGTGAAGAATGGAAAGTTTTCGAATGGATGGCGAACAGTTGGCGAGCTTTTATCGATCTTAAGTGAAAATTCGTGGTTTACCTTGGGCCGCGTGATAACTTTCGCCCAAGTTGAGGGGGAATAAGGGTAGCGGCGTCGTGGATAAATCGACGATTCACTCGAGGAGGAACGTATCAACAATTTGGCGAAAAAATAAATAAATTAATAGATACATCTTCCAAAGGTATCGAAGAAAAAATTGATGGTCTTGGAAATCGATTTAAGATTCAAAATTTCTTTTCGATTGAAGTTGATTGAAAATAGATAATATTTTTGAACGAAGTCGATATTCATTCGTGTAATATATCGATGGAGAATCACATTGTTTCAGGATTTTCAACTTTTTTTAATCGCACTCTCGAAAGAAAAAAAATTGCATCAACGAGTTTTCTAAAATTAAACGTTATGAATTTTCTACTTTTTTATTTCTCCGATTTTCTTTTTTTTTCTTTTCTTTTTCATCCCGAGCGTTTCGTCTCGTTTCGTTTCTCGTGAAATAAAATTAGAACGAGAGTCGACGTTGGTGAGGAAGTTTTGTAAAAGAGGAATAAAATTCGATAGAGGATCGAAACGGAGAAGGGAAAAAAAAAAAAGAAAAAGAAAAAAAAAGGAAGGATGGTTAATAATGAAACTCGCCATTGGATAGCCTGGAAATTCTTAAATTATTATGGCGCGCGATGCAATTAAAAGATCCGCTGAATCTTTTAGAATCTTTTTTAAATGAAACTTCGCGAAAAAATTGATTTTTTTTTTAATCGATATTGCGCCTTCTCTCCATTTTCAGTGCCTCTTGAATATTGGCAAATATACCGTGATTCGAGGCTCGATTCGATTCGATAGCTTAATTGGCTAATGGAAAATTATCGAGTTAAAATCGAGGAAAAAATGTTATTTGTAATTTTTCAAACATTCGCGATATTCGTACGATTTTATCATCGCAAGATAGGTGGAAAGAAGGTACTCGATTTTATGTTCTCTCGCTTAGAATTCTGTACTTCTTGAATAGTTAGGAAGATGACGGAAGGAAAAGTGGAGAGAGAGAGAGAGAGAGAGAGTTTGATCGGCAAGTTCAACACGATATTTTAAGGTCTTGCACCAAGAAGTTGGGGGCAAAACTTTGGGGCAAAAATTACAATATTAAATTGCGCGAAATTAATTCTGGAAAACTTTTTATATCTACCTCTTTACTTTGTCCGAAGTTAAGAAAGGGAAAGAAAATTTGATAAGCAGAATTACCAAACTTGGGCCGAGAAATGAAGAATCGAGTCGATCGAGTATTCTAACGATGTTAGATTTTTTCTTTCTAAAAAAAAAAAAAAGAAAAAAAAAATCGAAACTTCGTCTAATTATTTTATCAAAATAATCCTGTGTCCCTGTGAAGAATGTAGGGATAACAAGGAATGGATAGAAGTTCCGGTAAAAAAAGAAAAAATACATCGATAGATAGATTGTTCAACAGAGTTTCTTTTCTTTTGCCTCCTTGCCTCCTCCCCCTCCCCTCTCAAAAAAAAAAAGAAGAAGAAAAAAAGTAGCACTTACGAGTTACATGTGCATTTCGAAAACATTCACGCGTACGAAAAAGCACACATTAAAAAAGACACGCACACGCATAGCCTTTTTCGCATGGATTTACATTCCATCTCTCGCACGCGTATTTACGTATAATAATTCCACGTGTGGAAACTGGATTCTTCCGGTAAAAAAAAAAAAAAAAAAAAAATCTGACGCTAGATCGTCGATAACGCGACAAGTGCATTGTGTTATCTCGAGGAACTATGAGGCTCAGAAAATCGTTCGTCTCCTTTAAAGAGACGATAAACGTGCGGGCCGATAGATATTTCGACGAGGTTTCATCGGGTTGATGAACTCTGGAATATACTCGAAAAATACTCGATCAGATAACATTACACTCGTTATTTTCAACGATGAAACGCAGTTATCGTAAATATCCAGCCTTGAAAAGCGACTTTATCGATTTTATATCTTTTATATATATATATATACATGGAAAGCAGGCATTTCCAAATGATTTTGATCTTAAAATTCTTCTCTTAATTACGATACATACACTATGTACAATCTCTTTGTACAAGATTTTCTTTACGATAAAAACAAAAAAGAAAAAAAAAAAAGAGAGAAAGAATAAAATATTGACTCGATATATATATATAATATATAAACAACGATTAACAATATTCGAAGAAAAGAAATCTTAAAAAGAAAGTATCGTCGATAAAATATATATATCTCTTATCTTTGTCCCTGTTATCCTTCGCTCGCTATAATATTTTATACACGCATATTTTTACACGTTCTTTTTTCTTTTTTTTTACAATAAATCTACACCCGTCATCATCAGTTAAAAATCTCACTTCTTCTTCTCTTCGTTTTCTTATAAATAAATATATATATATATATATATATTTATTCATCAACGAATCAGAATCTCTTAATTCACACTAGGAAATCGAAAGAAACGGCTAGGATCCGGTATCCTCCGTTTTCTCGTGGACGACTTGACTCGAATCCTCTCGATTCACACAGTCTCTGATCGCTTGAAGAATCACGCGCACCCTCCTGTCGAGGGCCGCCAGATGGGGTTCCCACAGAACGGGGGCCACCGGGTCCTTGGCCATGCTTTTTCGCAATGCCTCGCTCAGAGGGACTGGTCCGTTGTGAAATCTAGAAAAGAGAAAGAAAAAGAGAAAGAAAAGAAAAGAGAAACAATATGTTTCGGATATAAAAATATTTCCTCTCCTTTCTCCGTTTTTTAATATCAATATAATAATTCGTCGTGGATAAATTGTTAAAACGGGCGAGAGACGAGGGTAAATTTGAAAACCCTTATGGGACGTCTCCCGACTCTCCAACTTGTCGAAACTCGGAAATAAGCTTAAAATAAAATCCTAAGAAACAGAGAGAATCCCGTGAAACAGAGAGAGAGAGAGAGAGAGAGAGAGAGAGAGAGAGAGAGAGAGAGAGAGAGAGGAGGGGAAGGGACGGAATATCGAAAAGAATTTTCGCCCGAAATTCCGAAATTCCGTTTGAAAATTCAAACACTCTTCCCCACCCAATTCTATCCGGCGAAAATTTGCGGTCGGATCCTCCTCGCCTCTTTCAATATTCACCGAATCAAAGTAATTCGATCGTTTTTAATAAACATGCAAATCGACAGGACGCAGAAGTCGTCGGAACTCGAAAGATTAAAAACGTGATCCTCTTTCTCTGTCTACGGCCATCCTCCCTCCCTCCCACCCGGACGCATTGATCACCGAGGCAGAGAGCGCGAGAGGACGAGAAGACAGAAATTTTTCAATAAAAATGCAAATGCTCGTAATTAGAAGTTTGACTCGAGAGGTAAGACACGTATCTTAGTATCTATCATCTTGACGGAGCTCGTCACACTCGTCCTCTTTTTTTCTTACCTCTCCTGGAGGAAAAATTATAATATTTTCTCTCTCTCTCTCTCTCTTCTTCCTTCAAGTTCGAAATTTTCCACATTGGTCGAACGAATCCTTCGAGATTTCGAGACTCGTGGCTCGATAATATAGGATCCGGGTCTTTCTTGCGGAACAGGCAATGAATAAAGTATCGACTTGAGCAGACAGGTCGCGGATAGTATTTATAGCGTGTACAGGGTGATCCATTTGACTTTCGTGCCTTTGAAACAGAGATATTTGAAAAGGATCTCAAATTTGGATTTGGTGATGTATCTTTACGATATTTTATCACTATTGCGTTATTATAACAGTTAATGTTTTTAATTTTGATAATTTAGATTGGAATATATATATATATATATCTTTCGATGGATGATTTTGATAAAAGAAAAAAGAAAAAAAAAAAGAAATTTAGAAAATATTTTGAAGAAGAAAATTATGCTTATTGACAAAAATTAAGAGAACTAATCGTTTACGAATTTATTATAATTTTGTATATTTCATTTATTTTCCATCAGTCCACGTATCGATAAATTCTTTTTTCTGGTGCTTGCATAAAGATCGAGCGGTGATAAAAGAATATAGAAAGGAAATTTGCCGACAATTTGTTTCTTAACTTTCAGATAAATGTGGATAAAGAAAACATTTGAACGTTATATCGATTGATATATATATATATATATATAGTGGCTTCTTAACGGAGCCACCCAGTATACGCAGACTTGTGTGTATATTTAAGGACACATTCTCGAAGAAGCACGCGGATAAAAGTATTTTTCTGGCTGGCTACTTCTCGATGTCGCAGGGGAACGTAGAAAAGCACGTTGCTCTCTGTCGAGAGGAGGATAAAGACTTGATCGAACAGCTTTTATACCATTTGAACGATTATGGTTTTCCAGGATATCGATGATCCTCGACGATCTATACGATTTTTTTTAATATTTATCTAATATCGAAATATCATCTTTCGAATTTTAATTTGATTTTTCTCTCTCTCTGTTCGTCGAGGCATCAGATTAAATTGTAAATTTAACGATCGAATAATCACGTTTAATAAAAAAAAAAAAAAAAAAAAGAAAAAATGGCCTTATATGGGCGTTTCCATACGAAGATTGGATCAGCTGAACGAGAATTGAATGAAAACGAAGTCATAATGAAAGAGAAGTAACCATGACTGACACGATGAAGTAGCTGCAATGAAGTATCCACAGGATGCAATTATCCTATAATATTAGGTTTAATGGACAACGTGTGGGCTTCTTCAATGCGCCTTCCAACCGTCCAACACGATTTCATTCAAGATACTTTGAGACAGCCACGATAATAAGCCTTCCGATTAATTTGAAATTAGATACACGTTTATTTCTCCGCCAATCTTTCTCATCTAAATTCTGCGCAATTATAAAATTTTCCAAGGAACCGAAACATTTATACTATTACGATAAATTATTACGTTATTGCTGAAATATTTTTTCAAATTCTACAAATTGGATATAATTTTGGATACATTATAAGAATCAATTTCGAATTTGTTATTTTTTTTAAAGGGGTATTTCTACGTCTACAATTTTATCTTAAAAATCTTTCTAATCACAAATTGAACGGTTCGGATATAATTTTAGATACATTATAAGAATCAATTTCAAATTTCAAGTATATTATTTTTCTTAAAAATATTTCTACAATTTTATTGCTGAGAAAAATATTTTAAATCACAAATTGAACGAATTGGATATAATTGTAGACTGATATCACGGGAATCAATTTCAATTCCTTCGCGTAGAAACGCTTAGAAAGATGATAAATCGCAACAAAACGATTACTTTCTCGGAGAAGCATCTCTTTCTACGTCAAACAAGAAGAATAAAATTTCGAAATGGGAAGAATTTTGAGCAACGTTTCGAAGAATTTCACGCGAGTAAGGATGAATTTCAATCGAATCGCGAATATATATATATACAAAGAAAGATAAATCGAATGAGAAAAATGCAAAGGGATCCAGAGGGGAGAATTGAGAGAATCCTGAGATTACTCCTCCGCCACGGTGGAATTCAATCTACGAAACGTTCAAGTTTTATCGAGAACAGGTGTCGTGGAGAGGTGGACGGACGGAAAGGAAGGAAGGACGAAGCCGGTTTTTTTACTCGACTTAGCTCGCCCGTAACGACAACTTAAGCAACGTGTCGAACAAAATCGATAATCGTCCCATCGTGGTATCGCGTCGGTCACCGTGCACGCGTGATGCACGTGTGTACATGTGTGTACATGTGTGCGATTGTGTCGAAACGCGTGTCGGCGAAATCCGCTCTCGGCCCGAATTTATCGCGGCCGTAAAAAGCCCGTCGTCCTCGTCGTGAATCCGCATCAAAGCGGAGATTCACGAGCGATGCCGGCGACGGCCAATTCTGGTAAAACGTTTCACTCCGAAATCCGCCTTATCCAGCCCCGGGGGCCACGGCTCGTAAACTTTTCCCATCGTTTCCCTTTTTTCGAAATCCGGCGAGAGGCCCTCCCTCCCTCCCCCCCGCTCTGAATTGTAAATTCGACCCGGATCGATCCTGTTCGCGACAGGACCGTGCCTCGATACCATCGCCATGACAGATCTTCTCTCTCGCTCTCTCTCTCTCTCTCTCTCTATCTCTCTATCTCTATCTCTGCGATAGATGGTTGGAAATTAATAGGAGGTCGGATGGGGGGCTTGGCTTGACTTACGAGTGGACGAGATAGATATCGAAATAGATCGATGGATTTTTCGAGGAAGATGCAAGGTTTAGTTGCGAGCAAGGGTGAAGAACGGTATCATCAAGGTGGAAATTTTTAACAAGAGGGAAGGGGAATCGAATGGAATGGACGTGGATGGATCTTTTGAGAGTATTAATGATAAATTTTTATCGAATTTCTTTTAACGAAGGAGAGGAAGGAGAGGAGAAATTGGAAGAAATGGAGATTAGGGGGAATGATTTCGAAGGAATTGGAGAGAACTTACTTTAGAAGGGTGCTTAGAGTTGTTTGCCTGATCATGCAACACTGTAAGATGGGGGCCAGGATGGAGATCTCGTCGTGGAAGGGTCTGCCAAATCCTCTTCCGTGATCCAAGTGCAGGGGAAACGTGTTGTTGCCGAAAATCTTGAACGTCTCGTAATGGTGTCTATCCATGTTCCCCATGAGGAAGTCTAAGACAGCCATGTCCATTAGATCCAGCAATCTTCTACCCTCGTGATAGGGCGGGATCTCTTTCACGAGGGAACAGTAATCCGAATCTGAAAAAATATATATTCCCGGATAGAAGATTGAGAAACATTTCATTACCGCCATTTTAATGAAAGATATCGTATCACGTACGAGTTTAAAATAGATTTCTACTTATTTTTTTTCTACGTGAAATTTTAACGTCCGATGGGGAGGGATATACATTCGTATATTAACCAGTTTATGACGTGAATTATGAAAAGCTACGCAAGCTTCTAAAATTTTCAAAACGTCTGCCTATCAAATATTCACCGAGCCGCTCGAAAATTTACTTTTATCGCCAACAATTTGTTCAAACTTCTACGCGTTTCGATTTTCAGCTTTTTAAATCTTGCTTTATATTTAAAACGGAAAAAAAAAAATCTTTACCAATATTAATATTACCCAGAATATCCATCTTCTGAACAATACGCGTGAAAAATTAACTTTAAAACGTCTCATTAAAAATCAAGAAAACTTCGAATTATCGTAGCCTTCGAATCACGAGCAATTAATTCGGCAGAATCGGGAGCGGAGAAACCGGTTTTCGTTTCGATACGTCGTTTGCTTTCCTGAAATATCTTTCGTGAAACCATCGACTATAATCTTTAATAATTCGATATCCCTGTCTCTCTCGCTCCCGCTCAACTGACCTACCCCAAATCGTCTACCTGAGCAGCGGTCACTGGCTGATTTAACGCTTTTTGCCACTACTACCACCAGACGTGCGTAAACAATTTCTAGAGTGAGAGGGAGGGAGGGAGGGAAAGTAGGTCACGGCGTTTCCCTAGAACTTGAATCCACCATTCATCTTACACGCTATCGGCTCTTATATCTCGGCAACCATTCAACGTATCGACATCAAACAAAGTGCATTATGGAGAGTACGTTCCCGGCTACGTATCGAGCTATACCCAATGGAAAATTGGATGGATGTATTTTGCAATAGTGGTTAAGAAGAACGGATCGGTCTACTAGAACGGTCACGTTTTCGAACGATTAATAGAGAAATCGTTTAGAGATTTTCTCTTTTCTTTTTTTTTTTTTAATAAAAGTTTAATAAATCAAGCTTTTTTATTTAAAAAAAAAATATTTTGAAAATATCAGAGTCCTTTCGTCATATTTTGTTCATCGACATTTCTATTTCATCTTCCTTTTTTTCTTTTTTTTGGTTTCATTTAACACGAAATTTCACGAAACGAATTAACCGTATAGAAAGAATTCCTATTTTTAAGGAGAGAGAATTGGCCGCGCGATAAATAATAATCGAAGGAAAAATGTAACGATAAATGGCGGGGGGGGGGGGGAAATCTCACCATGCTCCCACTGGGCCTTCTTCCTCTTGTGATAACTCCTCCGCCAGGGGTGTCTCCATGCCTTCCTCGCGACGAAAGATTTATCCGGCAAGAAAGCGGCGAAACTGCCTTCAAGGGTGTCCGGATTTCCGCAAATCGCGTGCGCCGTATCGCAGTAATAACTGCACTTGCCGTGGAAGCAGATATTACCGGCGGGGCTGACGAAGAACGTCTTCAGCAGTTCGCCGTCGGCGATCTGATAAATCTCTGTCGTTAGGTTCAACGTTCTCCCTGTAACCGGCATCGCCCTCCTGAATCCAAGCAGCCTGCAACGGGGCAAACTTTTATCATTTTCCATTTTCAAGGGGCAGGAGAACAAACTCGTCCCCCCTTTCGCGTCTCGATTTGTTTTCTTTCCCATTTTTTTTTTTATCGATGTTATATAAAAATGATATAATGTAATATCGACAGATATAAAAATCGATATAATATAAAAATAATATCGATAGATCCTAGAATTACCTGTCCAGATGAAAAGCGGCGATCTCGGCCGTGTGCCTCTCGAAATCGGTGAAGTAGAAGTGATTGGGCAGAGTTTGTTGTTCCCTTGGAAACCTGTACGGCATAAACAGACAGTAATAATGAGTCGTGGAACGTTTTTGGAACCAGGATAAACAAAGGAGAATCTGCATTTTTGCGTTATACACGAATAATACACTCGTGTTTTTCCACGGGATGTTGGATCCCGTGCAAAAATTTCTTGCTTTTCCCGGGGAAATATTTTTGCCCCCCTTTTCAAGGGCGAGAAGATCCGCGAACGAGAATAAACGAGAGGCGGTATATATCCAAAACGCGAAAACACGGGAGAGAAAGTAATTTCCATTTTCGCGACAATGTTGAATCGTTCGGGAAGAAATCTTCGCCCCCTTCCCCCCTGTAATTGCGCCACGACATCTTAATTTATCACGTTCGTTCGTTCCCACTTTCTCGAAGGAATAACTTCTTACTTGTAGCAGCAATCAACGATGGAATTAAATTGAAAGAAAGAAAGAAAGAAAGAAAGAGGAATTTTTCTATTCTCAATTTCGTGTTTGTTATTTCGAGAGAAAAATATTTGTCTCGTTTCAAGGCCGTGGCACGTGCAACTTCACGACAGTTTCGAATTTCAGTCGGAATTCAGGAGGAGACGATTTCTTCGAGAAAGCATAACCCCCATACCGAGAGAATAGGCAAGGAAGGGGGGAGGGGGAGAGGGAGGAGAGAAGAGAAACGGTTCCTCTTCTTTTTCCACGTCTTCCATCGCGAGAGTCGACGGCGATAAATAAAAAAAAACCATCCCCGGGGAATCCTTCTCCGCTACGTGTGCACCTTTCCTCGCGAAAATATGGCGAAGGAACGAGAACAGAGGAGGCAGAATTCCGTCGATGTAGTGTGACGTTGAACGAGTGGATACCGAGTGCTAGCGAGCCTCGAATATGTAAATAATCGAGAGAGTTTGTATATAAATATGGCGGGTGAAACGGGTCTCTGTTGTCTGTTGATCTGTGAGACGAATCGAAATAAGCCGAATTTTTGTATAAAAGTCAATCTTCGATCTCGACGCCTGGTCGTAGTCAATTCGAACTTTTTACCTCAAACTTCGAATTAAAATCCGTTGGGAATCACCGAAATATCCTCCTCCCATTAACCCAGTCTGCGAACTCGGTATTACGTTTTATCAACGTCCGAACGAAAATAATTCTCTTAATCGAAAAAATGATTTTGCACTTTGTAATTATGAACTGAAGTGAACATTATCGACTTATATTTAATATAATTGGGAGGGCAGGTCACTGAAATCTCGTTGTCAAAGATTAACGACAACGATATTTCACAGAATGAAATTTCTCTCATTTAGATTTCGAGACGAAATAATAGAAAGGGAAAATTTTAAAATATTTATCAACGATGATCTTTGCCGATGCACAAGATTTCTTCTAAATTCTCTCCAAGCGAAATTCAATCGAAGGGTGGAAATATTCGTCAAACTTCGGTCTTGAAATTGGGGAAATCTATATTGCAGAGCAAACAGGAATGTCTTGATCCTTCATCAGGGAACATGGTGAATTCTTGATACTCTCTTTATCATTTTCCACGAAATATGAGGAGTGCTTTTGCTACGCCTCGTTCCAAAAGATAGAAACGAACGTTTAATTCGTCATCGTACCACGATTTTCTTCCAAAGTCTCGAACGCTTTGAGAAAAAAAGAATGCTCAATTTTCTACTTAAGAAGTTATCAACCACAGAGAGCTGGAGAACTTTCCAAAGTATCGATTTTTCGATTCTCCTTTCTTGCAATACAATTTCTTTCGAATTTCCATCTCCAAAACTTCCTTCGTCGATTAATTAAAAAACAAATAAAAAAAAAAAAAAAAGGGAACGTTCAATTTCACGAAACATCACAGAGAGATCGGAGACGTTGGTTAAAAATTGAAGACGTCCGAGGTGGAAAGGGATCGTCTCTTCTTATCTCGAAGAAAAACGATTTTGAGAAAGGAGGAGAGGAGGGACCGTGAAAAAAACGCGGCGCTTCGAGGAACTTTTCCAAGCAGTCTTGGCTAATTAATACGACGGTCGCGCGGTAATTAGCGCGTAATTTGCATCCGATTAAAAGTTAACTGGCCGTCGCGGGGACCTCTGCCAAGCCAACCCTTCCCGCCTGACCTTCCGACACCGCGCCATAATTCTGTTTACCCAAACAGAAGCAGCCCCTTCTCCTCCTCAGCTCGAGAATTTTTTCCACATTGTCTGGCTCCGCGACAGGGGAAAGATAACCGGATATTTGGTGGAAATAATTGCCTGGAATAAGACCCCCGTCTCGCTGCTATTTTATATTCAAATGAACCGCTTTGGACGCGATTTATTTCCGCGCGCAAATATTAATTGCATCGGCGAGGATCTCGAGAGAGAAAGAGAGAGAAAGAGAGAGGGGGAGGGAGAGATTTATAGGTCAGATTAGAAGAATTGCTTTACTTTCCGCCCGTCTCGAGAAAATCTGGGACATACTCGTTTTTTTTTTCTTTTTTTTTTTTTTTTTTTGTCAAGATAAATTGAATCGAATTAATAGATTTCGAGAAGTGATAAACGATGAAATAATCGAGGGACACGCGAGAAATGGGGTTCGGATCCATATTTTTCTACTTTTAAGATAATTTATTGGCGGTAATTTTCTGGTTTCGCTTATTTTTTTTTTTTTTTTTTTT